ATTTACCTAGAATTTTATCTCAGTTGAAAGATAAAGAATTCTAAGAAATTCTTAAACAATACTTTGCTTGTGCTAAAAAAGTTAAAATATGTTTCACTGTTTATAAAATAAGCTTGAAACCAACTTTTCAATTTTTTAATCATACAAACTTTGTGGGCTGTTTCATTGTTGATATTTGTCCAAATAACTTTGTGGACCGTTTCAAATTTCAAATTGCATTTTTGGTAGTAATACCCTTCAAAATGACATATTTTTATTTTCCGGTAGTCATATTCTTCAAAATGACATCTCTTAAGTTTGGGTCGTCGTACCCTTCAAACTGATATCATTTTAAATTTATGCCACATATTTGTCCATACCAACTTCGTGGACCGTTTCATAATTTATATTTGTCCAAATAACTTTGTGGAACGTTTTAAAGTTCAAATTGCATTTTTCGGTAGTCATACCCTTCAAATTGACATCATTTTAAATTTTTATATTCGTTTAAATAACTTTGTGGACGTTTCAAAGTATAAATTATATTTTTAGATTGTCATATCTTTCAAATGAAATCTTTTTATTTCTGGTTGTCATATCCTTCAAATGACATCTTTTAATTTTTGGGTCGTCATATTCTTCAAAATGACATCTTTTTAGATTTAGGAATTTTCACACCCTATAAATTGACATCATTTAAAAAAAATTATGTTGTGATATTTCTCCAAAGTAACTTGTGGACTGTTTCATTGTTGATACTTGTCCAAATAAACTTTGTGGACAGTTCATCCTTGATATTTGTCCTTATAACTTTTTGGACCGTTTCAAAGTTTAAATTATATTTTTGGGTCATCATATCCTTCAAAATGACATCTTTTTATTTTTGGGTCGTCATACCCTTCACAATGACATCTTTCATTTTTTGATTGTCATATCCTTCAAATGGCATATTTTTAAATTTGGGTAGTCATACTCTTTAAAATGATATTCTATGTAATTTAATTAGTCATATCCTTCAAAATGATATCTTTTTAGATTTAGGTCGTCATACCTTTCAAAATAATATCTTTTTTTTAAAAACAAAATTAAATAAAATTGTTATCTCAAATAAAATAATACTTTTCAAATTGATTTGTCATGCCGTTCAATATGACACTTTTTATTTAGTTATCTAATTTTAAATTGCCATATTTTTTAACTCATAATGTTATTAAGTTAATTGCCCCAGCTGTTAATTACCTTATCAATATGAGGTCATAATTGCATATTTTATGTTTCTTTTATGTTATATTTGTTACTAACATTGTTCTTGAATATTTTGTGATACACCATTCATATTAAGTTCAAGATTGGATTCTCATCTCCCTTCAAATGACACGTTAAGTTTAAGATTGGGTTGTCATCACCTTTCAAATGACACGTTAAGTTTAAAATTGGACTGTCATCTCCCTTCAAATGACATGTTATATTCAACTTGGTCTTAAGGAAATTATTAAATCTGTGTTTTTGGTGGAGATAAAAATCTTTGTGATTTTATACTCTTTTAAGTCTGCAATTATAGTTTGTTGCTTACTTATATTGTATCAATTCTGTTTATCTGAAATGGCAAACACCGGTGTTACAGTGGTTGTTGCTGCACCAACCCGAACTCTTGTACCATAAGCAGAGAAACCGTGTAAATTCGCAGGTGTGAATTTCAAAGGATGGCAGCAACGAGTATTTTTCTGGCTTACCACTCTTGGTCTACAAATATTTACAAGTGAAGATACTTTAGTTCCTGCTGATGATATGCCAGACAGGGAAAAATTTCATGATTGTTGAAGCATTGAAACAGTCAGACTTCTTATGTAAAGGTTACATTTTGAGAGCTTTAGAGGATGACTTATAATGTCCATAGTGCAATATCAACTGCAAAAGAGTTGTGGAATGAACTTGAGAAGAAATATAAGACAGAAGATGCATGCTTGAAAAATTTTGTGGTCGCAAAGTATTTAGACTATAAAATGGTAGATAGTAAAACTGTTGGATCACAAGTGCAGGAATTTCAACTTATTCTCCACCATCTGATTGCTGAAGATATGGTAGTAAATGAAACTTTTCATGTGGCTACAATAATCGAGAAGTTGCCTCCTTCGTGGAACGATTTCAAGAATTATCTAAAGCACAAACGTAAAGAAATGAAGCTTGAAGATCTTGTGATTCGGCTCAAGATTGACGAAGATAACAGAAATGCCGAAAAGAAGTCGCGTAAGAGTTCAACAATCATTGGAGTTAATATTGTTGAAGAAGCTCCTACCAAAGACAAAAAGAGAAAGAAGTCCAACGGGCAGAAGTCAGAACAGGCAAAGAAGAAATTCAAAGGCAATTGTTATAATTGGTCAAGGCTGGTCATAGATCATCTGATTGTCATGCTCCAAGAAAGGAAAAAAACAAAGGCAAAGGCAAAAATCAAGCAACTATCGTGGAAAAGATGGAACATGCAGATGACTTGTGTGCAATGATATCGGAGTGTAACTTAGTTGGAAATTCCAAGGAGTGGTTTCTCGACTCAGGTGTCACTAGACATATTTGTTTTGCGAAAGAAGTCTTTGCAACGTAGACTCCTGTTGAGTGCAATGAAGATTTATTCATGGGAAACACAACAACAGCAAGGATTGCAGGAATTGGAAAAGTAATGTTGAAAATGACATCCGGCAAGGTGTTGACTTTGAACAATGTTCTGCATGTCCCTACTTTTAGGATGAATTTAGTTTCTGCTGCACTACTCGTTAAGAACGGGTTTAAGTATGTCCTAGTTAGTGATAAAGTTGTAATAAGTAAGAATGAAATGTTCATAGGAAAGGGCTACCTCAATGAGGGTCTTTTCAAACTAAATGTAATGGTTGTTGACAGGATTAATAAAAATTCTGCTTCTGTTTACTTATTGGAGTTAAGTGAGTTATGGCATGCCCATTTGGGACATGTAAATTACAAAGCCTTGCGAAAATTGATTAAACTAGAAGTATTGCCTGATTTTAAATGCGATAAGTCGAAATGCGAAATTTGTGTCGAAAGTAAGTTTGTTAAACATCCTTATAAGTCTGTTGAAAGAAATTCTAAAACTTTAGACTTAATTCATACAGATATATGTGATATGAAGTGAACACCATCTCGTGGTGAAAAAAAGTATTTTACAACTTTTATTGATGACTGCTCTCGATTTTGTTATGTATATTTGCTTAATAGTAAGGATGAAGCAATTGATGCATTTAAGTAATACAAAAATGAAGTGGAAAACCAATTGAATCTAAAGATAAAAATGATTCCGAATGATAGGGTGGAGAATATGAATCTCCTTTTGCAGAGATATGTTTTGAATATGGTATTGTTCATCAAACTACTGCACCCTATAAACCACAGTGAAATGGTTTGGCAGAATGGAAGAACAGAACATTAAAGGAAATGATGAATGCCTTAATGATCAATTCTGGTTCACCGCAAAATCTTTGGGGGGAAGCCATCCTTACAGCTAATAAAATACTCAATAGAGTACCCCATCAAAAAAAAATCAATTCCATATGAGTTGTGGAAAGGAAGAAAACTCAACTTGAAATATTTCAAAGTGTGGGGGTGTTTAGCCAAGGTAGAGGTTCCTTTACCGAAGAGGGTTAAAATTGGACCTAAAATAATAGATTGTGTCTTTATTGGGTATGCTGTGAATAGTAAAGCCTGTCGATTTTTTATTCACAAATCTGATAATCCCGAGATTTATGTTAATACGATAATTGAATCAGATAATGCAGAGTTTTTTTAAAACATTTATCCGTATAAAACTGAAAGTGAGTCAACAAGTGAAAGACCTAAACGACCACGAGAAGAATCAATGGAAAATATTCTAACTAGTGAGGAACCTAGGCGGAGTACTCGACAACGAAAATCTGTTTCTTTCGGACCATATTTTGTAGCACTATTGCTTGAAAATGAGCCTCAAACATTCAAAGCAGCTATGTCTTCGTTAGAGTCAAATTATTGGAAAGAAGTAGTCAATAGTGAGATTGAATCAATTTTAAGCAATCACACTTGGGAATTGACTGATCTTCCTCCAGGAAATAAACTTTTAGGATCAAAGTGGATTTTTAAAAGGAAAATGAAACCTCATGCGACTATTGACAAATATATGGCTACACTGGTAGTCAAAGGGTACAGAAAAAAGGAAGGTCTGAACTACTTTGACACATACTCACCAGTAACAAGGATAACATCAATTAGGATGTTTAATAGCACTAGAAGTAGTGCATGATCTTAAAATCCACCAAATGGATGAAAAGACAACCTTCTTAAATGGAGAGTTAGAGTAAGAAATTTACATGGAACAACCTGAAGGGTTTATAGTTTCTGGTAAAGAAAAGAAAGTGTGCAGAGTGTGAAGTCACTTTATGGACTCAAGCAAGCACCCAAACAATGACATGCTAAATTTGATCAAATAATGTTGGCAGATGGATTCAAGATTAACGAATGTGATAAATGTGTTTAAATTAAAAACGTTATGAATCATGAAGTCATTGTTTGTTTGTATGTTGATGACATTTTAATAATGAGTAAAAAATTGATGATATAAATGCTACTAAGCGCATGTTCTCCAGCAAGTTCGATATGAAAGACTTAGGAATTGCTGATTTGATCTTAGGAGTCAGGAGTATCAAAACTCCCCAGGGACTAGATCTCTTTCATCGATCCTAAACAAACAAGGGCAAGTAGTTGACACGAAATTTTGGTCTAATAGATTTAAAATTAGTAATTTCTTAATATTTTATTTTAAATAGTTCAAAATAAATATTTTGTCATTTTAATGCAATTTGTAGATTGTCATCCTTTTTCTGAAAGTATTAGGATTTTATCGGTTGTTATGTTTATATTATTTTGTCACATCTAGATGTTCAAATATTTATTCATTTTTTTTTATATAAAATCACTTTTTTTTTTTTGAATTGCATTTTACAAGTAATTGTTATGTTCATTAAGTTTTTTGATATTCATTTTTTCTCATTTACATTGTTAATATTCATTTTGAAATTTTGTGCAGTATAAAAAGTCATTCAAATCTATATATATTTGTATACACACCAACAATTTTTCGGTCACAAACTGGATGCCATAACTGAGAACCATTTTAAATAATTCCTTATATATGGAATATCAGTCTCAATAGATTTGGGAGTGGATAAGAATTTAAGGATTATTTTACATGATTTTATCGTTCATTATTTTTCAGTGGTAGGTCACATGAGTTTTGCATGAATCCGGCGAGTCTACCCCCCAAAACCCCATTTTATTTTCCCAATTTTTTGGTGAAACTACAATTTTTCCACCAACATCCATGAATTTTGGAAACCAAACTTCTCTCTTCCATTTCCATTTCATTTTCTAACCAGCAACCATGACCACCCAAAAACCCATTTTCTTTTCTTTCTCCGACAAATAGCCAGCCCTCAAACCCCCATTCTTTCTTCTCCGTTCTCCCTTAATAAACCTCCAAACCCATAAAAACCATCCAGACACCCCCACACCTCAAACCTTCCTAAATTCCAATGAAAAACAGAGCAAAAAACACCAACTCCTTTCTCTTTTCTAACTCCGGCAAGGAACTCCAAGCTCTGATGAACAGGAGCAAGCCAACAACTCTTAAATCCTCTCTTCTCCTCCTCTTTCCCGCTAGCAAATAATCACCAAAACCCCTTTTGTTTCTTCCCATTTTTCCAGCTAGCAATAGCAAGATAAACGGACCAGTCCCTTCCTTTTTTCCCTTTTCATATTTTATTTGGATTTGCAGTTGTTTTCACATTTAAGTCAGGCGAAGCGAGCAAAACTGGAGCAAAAGTCCAAGTTACCAGAGAACAACAACATCAATAACAACTGAGCAAATCAGTGAGCCAAAGCTCAAGCAGATCCGGCAAAATCAAAACATCACTCCATCAATGAGCTCTTTTTCCACCTAAACTCCATAGTAATTGCATTATCTTTTACCTTCTTTTGTATTTTCATATAAATTGTTTTCGTATGTTTGTATTTTGAAAATCTGCTCTATTTTAATTTTTTTGGTGTTACTTACTTAAAATATGTTTGCAGTTTTTATATATTTGAAAATTATTTTCCTTTTTATTGGAAGAGCTCAAACTTCAAACAATCTTATTTTCTTCTGTTACCCCATGGTTATTGATATTTTTCAGTATATTTCTCTTTTGTTTAAGCTTATTCTGATCCTATTTTATTGTAGTTTATATTTAGTGATTCACTATTTTAGATAGTATATTATTTTATTTATTTTTCATTCTTTGTTGACTACGAGTTGATGTTTGCTTTATTTATGATCGTTGTTATAGCTTTTTATAATATCTTATTTTTATTTTGGTCAATGTTATATATTTTTTTAAGAAATTTTCCGGTGAATCGTTTTTCCCCCATTTGTTACTGTTGATGTTGTTATTGATTATTATGTTGTTTGCTCATTTTGTTTGAGGTTAATTTTAGATATTTTGTGATTTATTGAATTGTTTTATGTTAAAATGTTCAATGATAAAAATATTTCGTCGATTTTAGAGGTCTTTCAATTTTGAAAAGACGGAAATTTTGTTTCGGTTAATATATTTTATATGTTAAAATACGTCGATGAAGAAATCACAATCCATTTCCAAGTCCTTTGATGATATGACAGATTTTTATTTTTAGATTGTTATTTTTGTTGTCAATTTTATTCATATTTATTTATTACTAACTGTTTTTATGGGTACTCAGAGGTGCTTTACAACCGAGTTATTCGAATTATACTCATATTCAATATTTTATATTGTTCACTATAAGCAAATTTAGGTCGATTCTTATATTACTGTTTTATCATAGTACTTGTGTATAGTGTATGATTCTTTTATTTATACATTATTTTATTCTCCTCTATTTTAAAAAAAAATGAATTTCGCCGGGACCCAAATTTGTGGATTATAAAAGATGACTAACCCCTTTCCTTTTGAATAATTTGAACCCTTTACCTAGAACCAATTGGTTTCATAGACATTTTTAAAATTAATTTATTAATCGGTTTCTACATTTCCATTAAAATTAGGTGGTGATTTTCTTTTCCCTTTTTACTCATTTTATAATATTTAAGTAATTCTTTTTTAATTCAGGCACCGCGACGTTGTGCCGTCTAAAAGGGATGTCAACAGAATGGCGACTCCACAAAAGATATAAATGTTCTGAACATTATGGTTTCATTTATTCAAATTGAGGAGATTATTCTGTTATTCTTTTATTGATTATGTCTTGTATATTTTGTTGATGATTTGCATATTCTACTCATTATTTATTAATTACTAGTTGTATAATGTTATTGCTTTCATAACATATTCTAACATAAATACAATATATTCAAGAAAAGTTTTGCGAAATCGCAACCGAATCTTTTTATACTTAACACTTTTTTCGGAATGATCGAGAATTTATTTGTTCGTCATGCGTCTAATGGTCGTCGTGAGTTCCATCCTAAGTTGTCCACTTGGGTTTGCGGGCTTTCAAAAACCACTCCTGGTCACCTAGTTTTTGAACATTGATAATCTTAGTTCAATCTCCATTCAAGTTATAATCTATTGGAACTGCGTTTGATATGATTCCTGCTTCAACAGGATACATAGGCGCCATAAGGGCTCATCATCTTCCCCGTAAGTTTTTAAAAATTTTGAAACTGTAACTGGGGTAAAATATCTTGAGGAGGTCACCAAATTTTTTACAAAGGAGATAGTTCTTACAAGATTAAATAACACAGATTGTTTAAGCTAAAACATGGGTAAAGTTTTTAAGGAATGCCCTAAAGAATTTCACCAAGTTTGTACATAAACTGCAGATTTATAAGGCATCACTATGAGTTAATTTGTATCTTCGTATTACTTTTTGTATATAATGTTACATTCTTCATATATATCTATTATTTTAGTTATCTTACATTCCGTTAAAATGATGATTTTATTAGACATTTTCTTTTAGTTAGGTTGTCTTCCCTTCAATATAACTCAATTTTTTTTTGCTTTCTCTTTAATTGATAATTTTTTTTTAATTTGGGTGGTCCGCCCTTCAATGTGACTTATTCATTTTTCATTTCAATTTCTCCCTTTCAAAAATTAAAATAAAATTGTTTGACATTTTTTAATGTTGTACTATCCGTCCTTCAATGTGACTCATTGATTTTTTTATTACAATTTTTTGTTAAATTTGGGTGGTCCTTCCTTTAATATGACTCCGTCATTTTACATTCTTGTAAAATTTTCTGTGAATATTAAAAAAAATGATAAATTTGGATTTTTCGCCCTTCAATGAGGCTCATTGGTTCTTTTATTTGTTTGTTTTTCTTTCAACAATTTCATTTGTTATTCGAAAAATATGGTATGCATATCTGAAAGAACTACGGAAACCTGATTCTTATTAATGGGATAAATAGGCAACCCTTATTGAGTTCAATATTCTTTATTCAAAAGATTTTTTTATTTTTTTATACTTTTAGTATTTATATTTTTGGATATCATTTTTTGACTTGTTTTGTGCCAACACAGTCAAGTGTGACTGTGAAAAATAATTTGTACAATCGTGAAGATTGACTTCCTGTTAAACTATAGATTCTTTCGCTAACTCTCATTTGTACTTTTTTTACATTTGAAAATATTCTCTTGCACACACTCAAGATTGAACAAAACTAGATTCATTGTTTCATGTGTATTGTGTGGTGAGTATTGAATTAAATTCAATTGTTTTGCATTGTTGATCTAGAACTTGTTCTAAATGTTGTTGAAGAGAAAATTTGAGTAATGTTTGATTTGAAAAATGATTGTAGGTTTTCTTTGATACGTTTGATCCTTTCAAATCCTACCAAATGACATTAAATCCTTAGTGTGTCCCACTTTGAGCTTTAAACATTTTCTTTGGACAACCACTTTTTAGTTTATACCATTTCTAAGTGCCTGTATACACTCATCCTCTTTGGCCTGACTTTCTTGAACGCACTAAAGACGCACAAGTTTCAAAATAAGATTCAAAGTTTAAAATTGTCAAATACAAAAATAATCAAAGTCCCTGAAAGTCAAGAATAAAAAAAATGACTTCAAAATAAAGAATGAAAGAAAGAAGAGTCGAAAAATCCCCACAAGTTCAAACAAGACAAGTTTCAACAAAAGAAAAGACTACTCCATACAAAAATGAAGAATGATCAAAAGATAATGAAGAGGGGAAAAACTAAAATAAGCAAAGTTTCAAAGAAGTGAAGAAGTGGTAAAGAAGGACAACGAGGAGAATTAAATGCCAAATGTGTAACAAATGTTGAAAGAACCAATTTAGTACAGTGCTCAAGAAAAGATTTAGTCACTTTTAACCCAAATGACTATCCTACCCATCCTAAGCCAACATTAAAAGCTATTAACAAGACCTACGTGATTTCAATTCAAATATTCTTATATAAGTGGATATTTGCATGAAGGTTAAGCTTATGGTATCACACTTGCATGCGTTGAACATTTTTCTGAGTGTAAGTCTGCTTTTTCAGATGTTCCCAAACAAAAAAACTTTAAATGTGCGTAAATTAAAAATATGTTTCTTGTGAGGGCACCTGAAACATGATGTTAGGTCTAGTTCAAAGCCTTTGTTTGTTGCAACATGGATAAATCTTGTTGTTACTTAAGCAGAACTGAGGTACCTCTTGAATCCATATGAGTTACCTCGAAATCAATCTCAGTTGAAAGATAAAGAATTGTAACAAAAGTTTTGTACAATACTTTGTTGATGCTAACCAAGTTAAAATATGTTTCACTGTTTATAAAATAAGCTTGAAACCAACTTTTCAACTTTTGTTTATACCAACTTTGTGGACTAATTAATTGTTGATATTTGTCCAAATAACTTTGTGGACCGTTTCAAATTTTCAAATTGCATTTTTGATAGTCATACCCTTCAAAATGACATAGTTTTATTTTTCGGTAGTCATACCCTTCACAATGACATCACTTAAATTTGGATCGTCATACCCTTCAAATTGATATCATTTTAAATTTATGCCCTATATTTGTCAATAGCAACTTTATTGACCGTCTTATTATTGATATTTTTGTCCAAATAAGTTTTGTTGAACGTTTCAAAGTTCAAATTGCATTTTTCGGTAGTCAAACCCTTCAGTGAACATCATTTTAATTTTTTGTCATCATATTGGTCCAAATAACCTTGTGGACGTTTCAAAGTTTAAATGATATTTTTGGATTGTCAATACCTTCAAAATGACATCTTTTTATTTTTGATCGTCATATCCTTCAAAATGACATCTTTTCATTTTTAGGTCGTCATATCCGTCAAAATGACATCTTTTTAAATTTAGGGTCTTCAACCCTTCCAATTCACATCATTTTAAAAAAAATTATGTTATGAAATTTCTCCAAATCAACTTGTGGAGTGTTACATTTTTGATACTTGTCCAAATCAATTTTGTGGACAATTTCATCATCGATATTCGTCCATATAACTTTTTTGACCGTTTCAAAGTTTAAATTATATTTTTGGGTTGTCATATCTTTCAAAATGAATCAAGACTCCCCAAAAAAATTACTTAAGTCTTGGACGACAGATGGAGTTATGGTTCGTAGGTCACACGATTGATTGTTTGTCATGGCCATCATTTGGTCGGACAGGAACATATCCTAGGGTCTTTTGGTCTTATCCCACTTCGTTTAAACCCTAAGTTACAATTTTTTACCCTAAATAATTAAATTTTGGTAGGTTTAATCTTACAAATATAATTAAAACATATCTAAGTCAAATCATTAAATCAAAAGTTAAAAATAAGAATCAAGAAATGAGAAAAAGGCTCAAGAACCCTAGTTCAAGAACGCAACAAGTTCCAACAGTTCTAGTCCTGAAACATAAGTATTTTCGCGAAGATTACATCACCAGGTATATGGGATTTCTCTAGTGGCTTCCTTTCACCTATTGGGTCCCTTGTTTTTTGTTAGATTCTTGATTCCCATATCATGATTAGATTTAGGGTTTCTTGAACTTCAACAGAACTTTATGAATTTATTATTTTTATTTTTCAAATTAGATTATTATGTTATTATTCATTTTATTGCATGAATTTTAGAACCCTACCTATGTATTTTTTTAGTTTTTTAATTACACATGCTAGGTCAGATATTTCAGACATTCCAGGTATACATGCCTCAGTTATAAATGCATAATTATCAGATTAATTATTGTATTCTCAGTTTGCACGTTCAGTTTCGAGCTATCTAGTATTTACAGAAACTCAGACATAATCTATTAATTTATAGTATTCATTAGGAGAAACATAATACCGAGTTGGAATAGGGCTCAGCGTACCCAATTAGTCCCATATATACTAGTCAAGTAGATTGTAAGTACCCTCTGTGGGCAATCACTTTAGTGATCACACCAGCATGCCTTTATACCTTTGGCAGGGTATATTGGGTCCTCTCGATAGGGCATATGCATTGGACTGCACATATTGCTCATGTGATATTATTATGGGTTATTAGTAACTCCCACAGATCAGTCAGACTCTTTACATTGATCCGTTATCATTATATTCAATATTCAGTTTCAGTATGTTATAAATTGGTCATTGCATTCAATTAGGTCCGAATTCAGTTATCATGTCAGATAATTATACTTGGTTTTATGCCTGTTCAGTTATGTTCTATTTCAGTTTTACTCTATCCAACATACTCAGTACCTTTCAAGTATTGACACATACGTGCGTTACATCTTCTCATGCTGTAAGTTCAGGTTCTCAGTATCCAGATCACTCATTGATCGATTTTCGATCTCTAATTTAGCAGATTCAGTGGTGAGTCCTCAATCTTTGAGGACAAGAGTCATGAGTGTCATTTTAGTCGTTAGTCATTTTGTTTTAGTTTTTGCTAGATTTAGTTAGGGACTTGTCCCTGTATTTCTAGTCCAGTTTAGAGACTTATGTCAGACATAGTTAGATTCAACTTAGTGTTGAGTTAATATTTCCTTTGTATTAAACTATTTGTTTTCAAATATCTAAGTTATAGAACATGGGTATTCCCCATCTTTTCAGATTTAATTATGATTTAGCTTCTGCATCAGCTTATTATCTTTAATGTGCTCATGATCATGCAAGCATGGTTAGGTTGGGATCAATTGTGGTTCTAAGTTCCCTGTCCGTGTCTCCGGGGTAGCTCGGGGCGTGACAAAACATGGTATCAAGGCACTAGGTTCAAGAGTCCTAGGATGTCTTAAAAAGCCTCACTAAGTAGAGTCCTTTTCATGGGTATGAAGTGCACCACATCTAATGAGAGGGAGCCTATGAAGTGTTTTAGGAAAAACTTCACTTTCTTGTTACTCTTATCATGTGTAAAGTATGATCAAATTCCAC